GGTGCCTGGCTAGCATTTCTGAACATTTTGATCAAAGATTCTGTAAAAGAATCTTGATCAAAAGGAGGAAATGCAGAATAGAATTTCAAATTTTAGTGGAATCCAGATTTTCTGGAGCCATGGAAGCTGGATGAACCCCTGAGATCATCTTTAAACCTTAAAACCAAAAATATCCCCTGAAGTCTTCTTAAAATCGAACAATAGTTTAGCTTAGCTGATGAAGGGTGTCTGCTTTGAGCATTGTACTCTTTTAAGATTTATCTGTATGGGATCAAGTTGACAATAGCAACTCGAAAGATTAGATAGGAACCTTAGGGGGCAGTGAGTTTATGTTAATAGGGGAGGAACAATTCAGAAAAGGAGGGTGAGGAATGGTTGCACAACTTGAAGAATGTAATCAATGTCACTGAACTGTACATGTAGAAATTGTTAAATTGGTGTATGTTCTGCTGTGTAGATTCTCAACAACAGCAACAACAAAATTATATAAAAAAGAAGAGAGAGTATTAAAGGTATATGGCTATTGTGAGGCTTATATAAGATAACTTATGGTAATCCTTTGGTTTAATGTCTGGCATATAGCATGTGCTCAGTAAGCAGTATTTACTGTCTTCTAGGACCATAAGACCCTGCTCTGGCACATAAACATGATGGTGCAGTGGTAAAGAGATGGGCTTCTAGAACTGGGGTGTTCCTAATTGCAAGGAATTCAGAAATGTTCCAGGAGGTACTGGAAGCCCCAGGACAACACAGATAGTCTTCCTCAAGCTTAATGGTAAGCTCAGTGCTTAATGGTAAGAAATATATATTCTTCTTCTTATACTAAGGACAGTGGTGGTTCAGTGGTAGAATGCTTGTCGTCCGTGCGGGAGACCCAGTTTTGATTTCTGGCCAATGCACCTCATGCCCAGCCACCACCTGTCTGTCAGTAGAGGCTTGCATGTCGTTATGATGCTGAACAGGTTTCAGTGGTGCTTCCAGGGTAAGATGGGCTAGGAAGAGAGCCCTGATGGTCTACTTCTGAAAAATCAGCCGATGAAACCTTATGGTTCACAATAATCTGATTCCATTGAGCACGGAGTCACCATGAGTTAGGGACCCACCTAGACAGCAGCTAACAACATTCTTATATTAAACCCAAAATGGCTGTACTGTGGAGTCAAACACATAAGTGTAATGAGGGTTTAGGATAATGTTTAAGATGCGAAACAGATGTCGTTACACTGGTAGACCACACCCTCCCTACCCACTGCAGAGGTTGGGGGTAGGGGCTCATTGCCATCCTTCTTGCTGGTAGGGGTATTTCAGAGACCCAGTGTAGAGAAAAAGCCTCTCCTTCAAATCGGGAGATGTGGGTCTTCTCTCTGAGAGACGGGAAGTACTCCTCCCTCTCTTTGAGGGCATGTTTCCTCCTTGGTAAAAAGAAGAGGGTTTTCTAACTGATCTTTACAGTCCTCATCTCTGAGTCTATGATAGTGAGTAAGGAAATATTTCTTGAATGAATAGAAGGGGGTATATCATAAGCTAAGAATTTCACACTGTCCAGCATCCCTTCCTGTGTGGGGTGATTTGCAAGAAAATTGAACTTTTTCCTACTGGCTGCCAGCCTCAAACACACCTACTCAGTACAGTGCCTTTGCAGGAAGTAGATGCCCAAAGTGTATCTGGGGAAAAACTGAATTAACTGATGCTAACCTCAGCAGTCATGGAAATGTGCCTCTTTGCTTCTTCACCTGGGAAAATACACTCAAAGCTCTAACGTCCAGCAAGACGAGGAGACTTGAAGGCTCAATGGGAGCAAAAGGTTCACACAAGCCTCACTGGTCAGGACTCTCAGCTGCACCCCTCTTTCTCAACACCAGGGGCGCAATTCCCAGCAATGGCCTCACACCCATAGAGGGAAGAAGAGTGCAGGGAGGGCCTATGTCTGACTCCAGGACAGCTCATCCCCTGCCCTCTCCTCAGGGCAACTTTCCTCCTCCCGAATAGGATACCTGGTTCAAGACACCTGCTCTCCAACTCTCATAGTCTCTGTGTCCAATGTTGCTTAATTACATTTGGCCATTTCTCCACTTTTTACTTTCCAATATGGAGATGGGACCCTTTATTCCTTCTCGAAGCCTTACGCTTTCCAACGTTTCCTCATTGTCTTCCATAGCTCACTACTCCCTATAATGGGGCAACAACAGTCCCTTTCTTTCCTCCCTCTTCTTTCTCTTTTCCCCTCTACCTGCCTAGCCCCAAGCCCTGGGTTAAAACATGTCTCCTTTCCAAGTCTCAGTTCCTTCCAAACAACTTTACAAACACGTGAAAGCCAGGGCCAAGGCAGTTATTGCTCCTGGCACTTCACTGTGCTTCCAGATAACAGTGCCCAAAGAGACCACGGAAACCCAGGACAGGAGTGAGCCTGCTGGTCCCTGGGAGAACCTCTAGGGTTAGGATGGGGCCAAATATTCGGGGGTAGGGCCCTTTACAAATATCAGAGAGACAGGTTGACAGAATCAAGAGTCAGAATCTTCAGAGACAAAGCCCCAGACTTCACTGGTAGGTAACCTATAAATAAACTTCCCTGGAGGCCACAGGGAAACCACCAGGGTGGCTGTCTTTGAAGCCAGGCCCAGGGCTCTCCCCACCATCTCCCCTCTTCTCTCCCATCTTGAGCATTCCTCCCTCTCAAGGGCTGAGTGGTACTCCAGTTCCCTTCTGAAACCTGCCCTAAGGCTTCTGGTCCAACACAACCTCTCCTTCCCCCAAATCCTTTCCGAGTTCTCCTTCCCACACAATCTAACATATTCTGATTAAGCACAGCATTTGGAACTCAGTGGATCTGGGCTCAAATCCAGACTACCAATTGTGGCTGTGTGAATGCCCACGAGTCACTTAACCTCTCTGAGCCTCAGTTTCCTTCAAGGGTTAAAAACTTCTCACTGGGTTATCATGAGGACTGCTGTTACCTCTGCTATCGTTATTATTTCTGTTTCAGAAATCTGAATCCCGGCTCCCCACCTATCCTCAGTATAAAGTACCCAGGAGAGACTATGTCTTTCACTTTATTGGGACTCCTAGAACTGGGTTTAATAAATACTTGCTGAGTAGAATTAACCATAGGCTGAGCTGTCTTAATGACCCAGCTGGCACTTCTTAAAAGAAAAATTAATTTTGCTACTGATAAGCAAATCAGCCATATAATTATCTGTACATACATACAAAGAAAGGGAATGCTTGAAGTTCAGCTGAGCTGGAGTACCTCACACATGCAGCACCTTCCCTCTAAGCCCCGGAAAGGCACAGCCCCTGTTTGGAGGGGACATTGGCAGCCCCAGCTCCAGGGTCACGGATGTCACCCTGATGTCCAGGCTCCCCTCTGTCCCTCTGAGGCTCATATTCCTGGCCTGGAAATGTGAGCGACACTACTGTTTGGATTTCACCGAACTGACTGGCAGTAACAGGAGGCGGCAAGGATTGAGCAGCTCCGGGCTTCCAGTCAGTGCCTCTCCTACTCACACTGTCTGCCCCAGGCTGGCGCCGGGAGCCGGAACCTCTTCGCAAAGCTACTTCAAGTTCCCACAAGCACCAGGGCATGCACTGACTGGAGCTGACTATAAGAGCTTGGGAGCCCAGGCACAGTCACAAGTGATAGGGACCCGGGACCCCTTTCTGGAAAGCTCATTGCCAGTCGCTCTCACAGGCGCAACAGGGACCACCTTGCCTACGGCCCCTGCTCCTGCCCCATCCCCTGAGCTGTCTTTGCTTCAGTCTCTGCCACCAACTTGCCTCTAACCCAGCCCCGGCTTCAGCCCCAGTCCCTGCCCCACCCAACCCCTGACCTGCCTTTGCCTCAATCTCTGCCCCTAACCTACCCCAGCCCCTGCTCCAATCCCTGCCCTGCCTCAGCCCTACCCCAGACCCTGCCTCAGCCTCTACCCCAGCCCCTGCCCCAGTTCTTTCCCTGCCTCAGTCCCTACCGTAGACCCTGCCTCAGCCCCTACCCCAGCCCCTGCCTCAGTCCCTACCCCAGCCGCTGTCCCAGCCCCTAACCTGCCTTTGCCTCAGTCTCTGCCCCTGACCTGCCCCTGACCTACCCCAGACCCTGCTCCAGCCCCTACCCTGCCTCAGCCCCTACCCCAGACCCTGCCCCGTCCTTGCCCCAGCCATTGTTCCAGCCCCTGACCTGCCTTTGCCTCAGTCTCTTCCCCTGACCTACCCCAAACCCTGCTTCAGCCCCTGCCCCAGCC